CGGACGGATCGGCAATCTGCGCATGCGCACACACCGCCGAGAGCCCGGGATCCCTGACAACCACGGAAAACAACTGTGGTGGATGACTGAAGAATTCTTTCCCTGGTGAAGAAAACACCCTTCACAACAGTTGGCCAGATCAAGAACACTCTCCAGGAGGTAGGTGTATGTGTGTCAAAGTCAACAATCAAGAGAAGACCTCACCAAAGTGAATACAGAGGGTTCACCACAAGATGAAAACCATTGGTGAGCCTCAAAAACAGGAAGGCCAGATTAGAGTTTGCAAAACGACATCTAAAAAAGCCTTCACAGTTCTGGAACAATATCCTATGGACAGATGAGACCAAGATCAACTTGTACCAGAGTGATGGGAAGAGAAGAGTATGGAGAAGGAAAGGAACTGCTCATGATCCTAAGCATACCACCTCATCAGTGAAGCATGGTGGTGGTAGTGTCATGGCGTGGGCATGTATGGCTGCCAATGGAACTGGTTCTCTTGTATTTATTGATGATGTGACTGCTGACAAAAGCAGCAGGATGAATTCTGAAGTAGGAAAGAACAAAGAGAGGGCGCACAGGCCTAGTGCATTACCATAAAAAATGTTTAATAAGAAATAAAATAGGTGTTGTACTCACAAACGACAATAAAGTCAAGGCACATCATAAAAGAACAGCTGGGTCAACACCGCGCTGAGTAACAGTCCGTAATGGGGAATGTAGACATCCAATAGTCTGACGCGTTTCGAGGACTTGCCTCTTCCTCAGAGCCACAGCGTCAGCCTATTGGATGTCTACATTCCCCATTACCAATATTTATGGACCTGATTGTAATCGACTGATCATTCCTTGTTCAAAAATGTTCTTTCCATTTCCTTATAGCATGTACCCAGCTTTAATGTTTTAAAAACTTGTTTCAATTATCCAATTTATATGTTTTGGTCACTTTTTAGAGACCTTTCAGGAGAACACTGAACCATTCCCACCAGCCTCTTCCCAGTGAAGTCTAGACAGTCTCATATCTCTGCTACAGTCATACCCACACTATAGCCAATCTGGATGGACACTGATTAACCTAACAATATGTTTCCGGATTGTGGGAGGACACCTGACTTATCGAAGGAGGTCCATACTACTCAACACAACCCAACCCACAACTCACACAAACATGGCCATACAAAACTCCATACAGATCATATCCTTATAGTTTGTGATAATATATTTTTTTATTTGCCAGCCATATTTATCTTTACTATTTTTTGGCAACTTTTTATAATAATAATGTGTACTTAAGTATATACAGAAGTCTATTTAATATATGCAAGAGTCATACATAACTAGTTCATTTTTATGGATAAAAACTCAAAGTTGGTATAGTTATAGACAAGCCAAAGGCATTTGTACTCAAAAACAAACCCATTTTTCCCCCATTTTTACAGTGTTTCTGTGCCAGAAGACACATGTGGAACAATGAGGTAGTTGAGGACTACATGACGGTAAGTACTAGTTACAATTAAAATGTAATGTGCACATTCCACAATGTTGAACGTTAGTGATTTTAGTCGTAGTATAGTGGCCTCCGGTTACATCTCTGTCTTGTATCACAGGCTTGAGGATAATGTGGGTTACACCAGTAACCTATGCTGTGTGATGAGCCATTGCATTGTCTTGGTGCACCTCAGTGTATTTAGGACATGGACAAACACCCCAACTCAATTTGTTTACAGAAGGCAGAGAAAAGTGGATTAAGTAGCTTTCGAGCTGTTGACTACAAGACAGCTGACTACATGTGTTTAAGTGTGGGTTGCAAAAACTTCTGAGCGAGGCCTAGGAGGGCATCCCCCTTCCCTAGCCCATTGTGTAAGATTGGGTGGTCATTTCCAGTGACAGGCTACAGTATAATTGCTAGAGGATGACCACCAATAGACAGAGTAAATGTTACTATTTTTACAGCCTGTAGTATAAGATGTAGATATTTCCAAAGGAGTGCATAGTCGGTGAGTAACACTGAGTTGTAATCTATTTAATGTGATGGCATACGTCCAAACTGTTTGCCTAGGGACAATCTACTGTACCAACATCAGCATTTAAAGCCTGGACAGAAGGTATCTCTTCTATTCTGATTAAAGTTAAAATAAATAAACTATGTGCTCTTCTCGATGTCATATGAGTCCAAGTAGGTTACAAATACATAAATTATTGAAACCAGAAGGAAATAAAAAGGTGGTATATTGATAGATAAAGAGTTTTAGCCTACTGTGCATCTAAATCCAACAAAATTCTTTTTTTCCAAAAAATATTTTTTTCAGAAGAAAGAAGGCATAACAGTGCATGTACAGTTATGGATGACAATCTGAGCAAAAACACAGCATGTAGCCTCCCGTTTCGCAGACGGGTCGTGGCTTAAAAAGCTATACAGATCATAATGGAGTAAGACATTATAACAACAGAAAATTGCAATCTAGCAGATATACAGAGTATAAGAGATAAGCAATATGATAGATTGTCTTCTGACCTGTGAGCAGATATCTATGACAGGGGAGTGGGAAGTGTGAAGTGTTGGGTAAGGGTCAGGGGTGGACTGACCATTTGGAAACTCGGGCACTGCCCGAGGGCCCGGGGTCAGTAGGGGGCCCCATGAGATGCCCCTGGTACCTTTTTCATAGGCTTTTTTGAGTTTGGGCAAGGACACAGGGGCCCCATGATCCCCTATTGCCCAGGGGCCCCATGAGTTGTCAGTCCGCCCCTGGTAAGGGTAGCACATGATGCTGTGTATGTTATGGTTTGTGTGTCCATGGATAAATCCAACAAAATTCTTTTGTGTTTGTTGTGCAATTTTTTAACAACAGAAACAGCCTACTCAGATAGAACACCTTACTCAATTCTTTCCACATTATCTGCTGCAATATACATTACGTCCTGTGGTTTCCTGGGTCGGGATAATTTTCTGTTGATTTTCCATAATGCAGTCTATTCCTCTATAAAAGGTTTAAGTAAGACTTAAGATAAACCATGTCTCTTTCAGTGGAGAATCTCTCCTCATGATTACTATTATTATCATTATAATAATGATGAGGATGTCTGTGTTTTAAAGAACCGCTGGAGAGCCTGTGTCATTACGCTCCACCTCTGGCACTCAGTAACCACTTGGCTGTATTCGTTGTGTGAGCTAGGTTTGGGCTATTTAGAATATCTGCATATGGAAAGTGCCAGCGTATTCTTTGTCAGCCACTCCCTACCTAACTTAAGAGACAGAATTTCATCAGCAGCTCTGGTGTATACAGTGTACCAAGCCACAATTCCCAGAAGTGCAGCACTAATGTATTCTTGGCATGACTGCCAGTCCTGTGCAATATCACCAGCCAAGTGCATAAGGTGTACAGCCAACTGAAGCTTACAGGGGAAACCAATCTACAGACACTGTACTATACACAAAACATATGTACCAACTCTTTAGGCAATAATCTGGGTTGTCTGATGACCAATTCAAGCCTGATCTTTATTAAGAAAGATTATTTTAAGTTATAAAATTGCATATTACTTTCCCATCCATTTTAACATAAAAGAGTGACAGCAGAACAAAGACCAAGTGGATCATCAAAGCTGCCCATTTTGTTGTGAGTATAGATTTACAGTATGTGTTTCCCAAGTAGGGGTTTCAATTCACTTATTGTTGAATGACTGACTAACTCTACTGGATGTCTTTTCCAAGCATCAACTATTCTTTCAGTAAAATAATACCTCCTAAATTTAGTTTTGATCTTTCCAACTGCTAGTTTGAGGTCATGTCCCCAAGGGCAGTCTCCTTTTTGGACACTAGATGCAATAAATGGGAAGTAAGTATACTTTTGTATTTTTACCAAGCTGGGCACAATGGTGCACTTCAATATGTTATGCCCTATAATATAATTAGATTAAAAAAGACTTATGTCTATCACCAGGGGTGGACTGACAGCTCATGGGGCCCCTGGGCAATAGGGGATCATGGGGCCCCTGTGTCCTTGCCCAAACTCAAAAAAACCTATGAAAAGGTACCAGGGGCATCTTGTGGGGCCCCCTACTGACCCCAGGCCCTCGGGCAGTGCCCGAGTTTCCAAATGGTCAGTCCGCCCCTGTCTATCACGTTCAACCAAAAACATATGAGTATTGTTTGATAAATAGAATTGTAGCTCCTGCCTTTAGTCCTTTTTAAATGTAAAGGTCATCTATGGCATATTAGCTTTATGGCACTTTGATCAGTGGGTTTCCAATGAAGGCGATTTAATGGCTTTCTTGTCACATACAGATAGATGATCTTCAGGCCTTCTGGAACATGTCTCAGTTGATAGAATAGTTGGGACTGCTGTGAATGTCTTGTTGCATGCAGTGTGCATTTATATGCTTTCTCCTGTACTAGCCAACATTTTTATATGTGCATTGTTGTCCTTAATATTTACAAAAATAAGTGCACTGAAACTACAGTTACACCCAAATCTTGAGATGTATGCCAATATAACTTACCTTCTGAGTATTTTAGTGAAGGTGTTTATTGGTGCCAGATGCAGAGAGAGGCTTCTGGAAGCACACTGCTACTGCCCTCCTACTATGGTCTCATTTTCCATTAAAAATGGCAACCCAACTCATGAATACAGTAGGTGGCAATGCATGTGTTTGGTGATCCTTGAACAGACCGAATAGTATTGCTGGGGAAGCCGGTACTAAGAAGATTCTCATACTGAACGTGTTTCGTGATGCATGATACAGAGGGAGGCTTCTGGAAGTTCAATACTACTGCCCTCCTACTATGTTCTCCTTTTTCATTTGGAATGACATCCCCATTACATTAATACAGTAGGTGGCAATGCGTGTGTTTGGTGATCCTGGAAGAAGCCTGATAGTATTGGTGGGGAAGTCGATACTAGGAAGGTTCTTATAGTGAACACGATTGGTGATGCAGGACACAGAAAGAAGCTTCTGGAAGTACACTACTTCTGCCCCCCAACTGTGTTCTCAAATTCCAATTAGAATGGCACCCCAATGCATCAATACTGTAGGTGGCAAGGTGTTTGTTGGGGTGTGCTGCATTTAACAAAGGCTGCAGAGACTTTTATGTCCACTGGTAGTCCATTCTTAATTAATGGACTGACTTAATGAAACTGAGATTTTTGCACAAAATACTGCATGTTAACATGTTTGAGGCAATGGAGCAGTATAGTTTGAAGGGGCCCCTAAACACATACCTGACAAAGTTTTACATTTGAAAAAATATTATAAAATTGCAATGAATATATTATCAATGTATATAAAATGATGCAGATGGTTTCCCAGCTATCCTGCAAAATCAAGGAAATCATTTTAAATATACTTCACAATTAAATTTATAGCAAATATTAAAAGAAACAATAAATGCAGCTACACATTCATTAAAATGGATAATTAAATGTATTTCACCCGAGTACAGTTATTCAAATACAACAAAAATTCCACATAAATGTTAACACTTTTTAATTTTCTCTCTAGAAACAGATAAAGCTAGATATATGAAAGGGCTGACAGTTTTATAGTAAGGGGCTGGCATGCAATAATCTCTCTGTTTCAGATACCAGGTCATCAATAGTCCTTACACATCCTCTGTAAACAAGCTTGAACTAGCCTGCCAAGTAAATCCTGTAGAGAATCCAGTCTCTGTGGCAAAGCAGTGCTGCTTGGATCAGGGCAGAGTTCCTGCTGGTTAAGTAGGCTTGTTTACTGTACTGTCAATACCATACCTTGCAGGTGCGCTCATAAAAATAGACAGAATGGGCTGCGAGGGTACAACAAAAACCACCAATGTTTTCATGAATTTATTACGCTGTTGATGCTTAGGATTTTTTTTGTTTTTCAGTTGTAGATTGCTTATTGAGAGTTTAGTATTTAATGGTATTTAATGGAAAACAGACTGTTGCCCGTGACAGGTTATTTTGGGACACCAGTCTTTAAATACCCGGGAGACCTCTATTACAGAGGTTGAGTAAACTAGAAGTTCCCAGCTTCTATGCCGTTTTTTTGTATCTGTGCTGTAAGATTGTTATCAATAAATTTGTGTCACTGTACATGATTTTGGCTCTATGAGACAATCAATGGCAATCTAGGATAATAAAGAAATTGGGTAATTCAGCAATTATGTAAGTCTGTAGCTATTTTTGTTCTTAATGCTTTCATGAGGCTTGGCACCGCTGTCTGGCGTTTTGCTATACAGTTCGTGCTAGCATGCTCAATCTCTTCCTAAGCTTCTAAAATCAGACTTGTTCCTTTTCCAGTGCTCATGGTTCCATTTAAAAAAAAAAAACTCTACTTTTAAATCTCTTTTTGGCTGTGCTGATATTTTGGGGCCTGCACATCAAAATAATAATCTCTGTACATAATACTTAATTACCTATGTAGCACTACCCCCAAAGGAGCTGCTAGTAATTTTTGGGTCCTTTGCCCTTCCTAGTCCTCACGTTCACCTTGTCTGGGAACTCTCAGCAGGTGTACAAAAAAATGCACACACTGCCCTTTAAAAAGATGAACAGTCTGTACTTATAGGTTAAAGTCACAAATATAACAGAGCAGATTAGTACATCAGTATCAATGTACGTAAATACAACAGTAGAAGATACAGGTGTAGATTTACTAAAAGTGGTACACTCAGAATCTGGTGCAGCTGTGCATGGTAGCCAATCATTTTCTAACCTCAGCTTGTTCAATTAAGTTTTGGCGATAAAACCTGAACACTGATTGGTTTCAATGCAAAGTTGCACCAGATTTTACTCTCTCCAGTTTTAGTAAATAACCTCCACAGTGTACTCAACAGCGGCACCTCTAGAGTCAAACCCAGCTTACACTACGGTACTAGTAATATGTGTAGTAGCTCTCTGTATGAGAAGTTACTACTCAAGTGACCAAAGAGATTATAGGTGTCCGTTTATGACACAGAGAATAGCTGCAATTCAGGGGATCGCAGCTATTCTCAGGTCATTCACAGTTTATGACACTCAGGAGAGCAGTGGAGAACTGTTCAGCTCTTCACTGGAGATCTGTGTTCTCCCTCCAGATTCTCCAGCCCAGAGCTGGAGAATCGGAGGGACCGCAAACTAAGCAGAGATAATTTACCTCTGCTTAGTAAACTGATCTTTTACTGTAATCTCATGAGATTATAGTAAAATGAGCAGTTTTCCAGCGTTTGGAGACCGTTCTCCAGCGTTTGGAGACCGTTCTCTCTTCATTTGGAGAACTGCTTCATAAAAGGCATTCACAGGAGAACTGTGTTCTCCCAGAATGCTGGAGAACTGAGCAGCGAGGTATTACTGCTGGTTCATAAACGGACACCTAAGAAAGATGTAGCAGACTATTGAATCAATTCACTAAGGGATTCCACATGCGATAAGCTCCCATGAGCAGGGCCCTCCTATCCCTCTTGTATTGAACTCTATTGTTGCTGTATTGTCTCCCATTATATTGTAAAGCGCTGAGCAAACTGTTGGCGCTATATAAATCCTGTATAATAATAATATGAAGGTCATGTGACTCATTTTTTTTTTTTTATATTGCATGAGATAATAAGAGAGTCAGCTCTCCAAAATGAGCTAAATCATTAAAGTCAATTCACTAACACACACATTTGTTATTTATCACTTGCCAGTAGGCAGTCATTATTTTAGCAATGTACAAAATAACAATGAGGGGAATTCTGCACAGGTCAGCAAGAAAGTATCAGTGTGGAAATTTTCTGCCCTGAGCTCAAGAATGAAAATAAATTGTAACATTTCACCAGAGGGAGATCATTCTGTGAACCAAACAGCACCAGAATTTTTTCAGTTTCACAATATTTCTGTGTCCATTTATTTACAGAACTATCTCCCTCTGGTGCAGTGTCAGCATGTAAAAAAGAAATTGTGAAAAAATGCCAAAAATAACACTAATTTTAGGTGAGAAATACCACAATACGTACACATTTAACACACATAGTTTATACTTACACTCTTGAGTACTGACGTGATACTTTTTTACTTTTTTTATTTGCACTAAGATACAATTTTGAGGACAAGCTTTCGGGGTATGTCCTCTTCTTCAAGGTCCAAGCAGTACTATTACAAAGTTTTAGCAGAATGTTAGAAGAGATGTGGGGGATGAGAAAAAGAAATCAGAAAGAAACACAAGCCTAGGGTTAGCCTAGAGATAAGACACAAAGCAAAAGCAAAGGGGGGGGGGGGGGCTGAAAAACACTCACAGAGCGAGTCATAAAACTGTTGGATGATGATTGAGGAATCCCGTGTCCAGACCCTTATCTCTTATGTCAAATAGAATTATCGTTCTTAGTTCAAAAGTTTTTCTTTTCTGAATGGATTTGAAATTTCCTTTAAGAACTAAAACATTGAGGTCTTCCATAATGTGGTCCGGTTGTTGCGAAATGTGCGAAATGGTGTCCCACAGGTGTGCAAAAGTCATCTTCTTTATGTTCCTTGATGGTATGTCTGTGCAAATTCATCCTTGTTTGCAACTTCTGTCCTGTTTCGCCAACATAAGATCCTTTGCTACACTTACAGTCATGGCCGAAATTGTTGGCACCCTTGATATTTCTCCAGGAAATCATGTATTTCTCACGAAACGTATTGCATTAACACATGTTTTGCTATACACATGTTTATTCCCTTTGTGTGTATTGGGACAAAACAAAAAAAGGGAGGAAAGAAAGCAAATTCGACATAATGTCACACAAACCTCCAAAAATGGGCTGGACAAAAGTATTGGCACCCTTTCACAACTGCGGATAAATAAGAATGTTACAAGCATGTGATGCTCCTGTAAACTCACCTGGGGCAAGTAACAGGTGTGGGCAATATAGAAATCACACCTGAAAGCAGATAAAAAGGAGAGACGTTCACTTAACCTTTGCATTGTGTGTCTGTCTGTGCCACACTAAGCATGGACAACAGAAAGAGGAGACGAGAACTGTCTGAGGACCTGAGAACCAAAATTGTGGCAAAATATCAACAATCTCAAGGTTACAAGTCCATCTCCAGAGAACTAGATTTGCCTTTGTCCACAGTGCGCAACATTATCAAGAAGTTTGCAACCCATGGCACTGTAGCTAATCTCCCTGGTCGTGGACGGATGAGGAAAATTGATGAAAGATTGCAACGCAGAATAGTCCGGATGGTGGATAAGCAGCCCCAAACATGTTCCAAAGACATTCAAGCTGTCCTGCAGGCTCAGGGAGCATCAGTGTCAGCGCGAACTATCCGTCGACATTTAAATGAAATGAAACGCTATGGCAGGAGACCCAGGAGGACCCCACTGCTGACACAGAGACATAAAAAAGCAAGACTACAGTTTGCCAAAATGTACTTGAGTAAGCCAAAAGCCTTCTGGGAAAACGTCTTGTGGACAGATGAGACCAAGATAGAGCTTTTCGGTAAAGCACATCATTCTACTGTTTACCGAAAACGGAATGAGGCCTACAAAGAACAAAACACAGTACCTACGGTAAAATATGGTGGAGGTTCAATGATGTTTTGGGGTTGTTTTGCTGCCTCTGGCACTGGGTGCCTTGACTGTGTGCAAGGCATCATGAAATCTGAGGATTACCAAAGGATTTTGGGTCGCACTGTAGGGCCCAGTGTCAGAAAGCTGGGTTTGCGTCCAAGATCCTGGGTCTTCCAGCAGGACAATGACCCCAAACATACGTCAAAAAGCACTCAGAAATGGATGGCAAAGAAGCGCTGGAGAGTTCTGAAGTGGCCAGCAATGAGCCCAGATCTAAATCCCATTGAACACCTGTGGAGAGATCTTAAAATTGCTGTTGGGAAAAGGTGTCCTTCCAATAAGAGAGACCTGGAGCTGTTTGCAAAGGAAGAGTGTGGTCCAAAATTCCGGGTGAGAGGTGTCAGAAGCTTATTGATGGTTATAGGAAGCGACTGATTTCAGTTATGTTTTCCAAAGGGTGTGCAACCAAATATTAAGTTAAGGGTGCCAATACTTTTGTCCAGCCCATTTTTGGGGTTTTGTGTGACATTATGTCATATTTGCTTTTCTGCCTCTGTTTTATATTTGTTCCAATACATACAAAGGGAATAAACATGTGTATAGCAAAACATG